ACTTACTGTAGAAGCCAGCATGCTGCCGCCAAACCACACTGCATACCTTTGCATATGATGTGTTATAACTTGCACTTCTATTGGTTTAGGCTGAAAAAAATAACCCATTAGACAAGAATTCAATGAATTTCACCAATTAATAATAAATATCACAATATTGAAACCATACATATTATTGCATTTAGAGAAATCTACAATGTTAAAAACAAATATAATCCATGAGAATGAAAAATGTTACAGAATTATTTTTCAAATCCAGCCCACTGGTGTACACTTGGTGGAATGAAAACTTGTCTACCAATTTACCTTTATTCTACCGCCACTAAGCTGTTCACTAATTTTCAGTCTATTGTCAACAACACGCCTTACATCACGTTGAAGCTTACGACCAAAATCACGGAACATTGTAGAACCTCCAGACAGCACAACATTCTGCAACAAAATAGTATACATGTTAATGACACAGTCCCTGTTGCAATTCCGGGAAATGTTATTCATGTCTAAGTTAAAGTAATACGTTTGAAAAGCAAGATGGCCGCACGTTTGTCTTTCATTGGATCACAGGTTGAATTGTTATGGACATTGCTACATACATGTAAGCAATAAATTGGATATGTAAATCACTGGTCATGTGACCAGGTAAATTACTTCTGAATGAATTGTTAGTGTATCATCAATCGAGAGTGAATAATAGACTCATCAAGTACATGCACATGTACCAACAAAACTTGTTTTAATTTGCAATCTAACATTTTTTTTACAACTTACAAATAAACATAGGCATGTGTTGGGATGTATGCGACAAAAAAAAGTGACATAAGTGATAATAGTATGGCCAAAATAGAAAATGGTTGCCAGTCAACCATCTTTTTTTTTTTTTTTTTTAATATTTTTTGTGCCAGGCGACAGTTCCGTGCAAATGTGTGCAAATAGTGCATCTTGGGCACAGAAGTCATATTCATGTTTGGGCAGTCAACCATCTTTGATCCAAATGTGAAACTAATTCTAATGAACATGCACCTTACATTTTTGAAAAAAGATGGCTGCCAGTTGGCCATTTCAGATCCAATCATGAAACGAATGAGAAATAAAATTCTGCAACATAATATGTACCCTCCACCAAGAATTTCTAATTGTACACCACTTGTTTTTCCCAATAATGTATCTACCTTGTAATTTCTCACATGACACAAGGACCAAAGCTGTACTAGCCTGAATTTTAAAACCCCACTCAGAACCTCCTAAACAACATAATTTAGTCAGAGTCGTAACCTAGTTTGCATGAAAATCATATTTAAGGAATTGAGCACACAGTATTGAAGAGTTTGAACCCTCATACATTTGTAAAAATAGCTACTATATTTATATTTATATTTTTAAGGTTAGGATCTAAAATACAGTAGAATACGATTTTTGACAAAACAATCCATGATTTCTCAATTTCTGCACAGATCAACACATGGTAGAAGGGGAGCACGTCAACAGACACTCCTGAACTAGACTATGTGTGCTAAACAAACAGATTTTCTTACCTTATATAGTGGTCTTCTTACATCAATAGGACAGTTCTGTATGACATCATCAACAACATCCGATATAGAGGTTGTATACTCAGCATTGGCAAACTGTAGAATCACAATAAAATATGTTATTACCGAAACACTTTTATGACCTTGGTACGCAATGAGAATCTATCTCTAACTTGCTAAATCTTTGTTTGAAGTTAGTTTTCGGCTTTCTATATGATGAACATTGAATCAAATATTCATCAGCCATGTATGTTTTCTATAACAAAGTAACTGATTTATTTATCCACACATGACACATATTTAAGTATACATGTAGATGCTGGTTTGTGGAATTCAGATTAAACACACATTTAATTCTGTTCTTTTATACAATCTTAGATTCACACTGTTAAGATTTTGTTTTTTTTCATAGTTGCATGGTTACCAATCGTGTAGTAAAGCAGTGAGTAAAGTACTAAATTAATCAACCAGGTCATGTCCTTCTGAATTCCAACTCATGTCACTTACCATATTAATCAACCAGACCCTGTCCATCAGAATTCCAACTAATGTCACTTACCATATTAATCAACCAGACCCTGTCCTGAATTCCAACTAATATCACTTACCATATTAATCAACCAGACCCTGTCCTTCTGAATTCCAACTAATGTCACTCACCATATTAATCAACCAGATCATGTCCATCAGAATTCCAAACAATACATCTCAAAATATTAACCAACCAGGTCCTGTCCATCAGAATTCGAAACAATGCACCTTACCATATTAATCAACCAGGGCCTGTCCATTAAAATGCTAAACAATGCCACTTACCTCAGGATGAAAGAATATTTCCGGTCCTAGAAATCGTTCATACCCGACATCAACTGAGTATAACTGCTTTGTAATGGAGTTGACACCTTCATATTTTTTAATCCATTTTCCAGGGTCTGTATCGTACTTGGCAAATTCCTTAACAATATCGGGACAAATGTATCCCCAGCGCTCCTAAAGGAAAAAACAAAAATTGTTTTTAATTGCAACGCTTGTGAAAGACGTTAGTATATGTAGTAAATTAGGCAATGAACCAAACTTTAGTAGAAATCATATTCATGAGATAGATCAAGGGTGATTTTGTTACTAGCCGGTTAGTTTTTATCTGAACAACCTAAAATTCCTGTCATGCATGCAGTTTTGAATTTTGCTTTGGGTGTGTGCTCAACAAAACTAACCTTAAAAGTATGTATCGTATTTGCTTTATTACTAGTGCATACACCTGTGAGTAAATTATAGAGGTGTACATGTACAAGCTCTTTTATTGGATACATACTTATAATTGAGCAAAAGTGGTAATGTTCATAGTTCGTTGGGACGCATTGGTAACAAGAATGAAAAATAAATCATCATATAAATTCTGAAGGAAAGAGGGTGTAAATTTGTTCTCCAAAATCAATGCATATTTTAACTTGTCATAAGTTTGCCCGCAACACCTGCGCATGCGTCTGATGGCTATAGCGTGTCACTGTTTACAAACAAGCGTCTACCCATGAGCCTTTGCGTTTTTAACACATGTTATCGTCAATTGGGACTCAATTCCTTCGTGTGACGATCCTCCCGCTTTAAGATTCCAACAACAACAAAATCCAAACAAGTTTATGCTATGATCAGAAACATGGCTGTATTTTTTTAGGCCTAGAAAAAACAATTCGAGACTGGCTTGCATTGTAGACCAACATTAAAAAGAACAGCTGTATTTTATGAAAAGTCTGATCTTTATCATCAGAAAATACCACTAGTGACTTGAAGACACCAAGACAGGGCAGGGCAGGAGGAAATAAAACTTGTCCAAATACATCACTTACTTTAATAACTTTTGCAGTTTCTAGTGATTGTTCAGGTGGAATACCAACTTCTCTTTCTCGTAGTAACTGTTGAATGAAGTATGTGATATCTCTACCAGCAATTGGTATGTGTTTAATACAACTGCCAATAACGTAGCCTTCAGCCTGCAATATCAAGTATGGTACGTGTAGGTGGTGCAAACAAACATACATCATGTGACCAACATTGTGGCATAAAGAAAACACAAAAAAATATATCAGATTTTTCCCACAATGCAATATCAACCAGAAATATCATTGACTTCCAAACTATATCATGTTCAAAGTTAAAAATCTAGTGTATAAGGTGGTCCAGCTGACACAATTTTAATATGCAGATTTTAAATGTCAATGATCTGTATTTAAAAGCACTACATTCACACATTGCGAATAATGGTGCTGATTGTCTCCAAACAAAATTGCTAACATGGCCCACTCATGGGTTTCCTGGAAAGACTGCAGGCTATTGAACCTTTACTCTTGACTACATGTCTATTGACTTATTAACCACCTGCTTATCTAAATACTGTTCAACCAATTTCATTATTTTAATCCTTTAAGCAATTTCGTTGGATTTTAAGTCCACAAACTTGGCAGGGAAACGAAGAATTCTATTGTTATTTTACATGTTCACAAAAATCCAGATTTTTTTTTTATTTAAAAAGAAAATTGACCAGAAAAAAAATTGTTAGAGTGTGTGTACTCACCCATGGAAACTCTCTACTCACCCATGGAAACTCTCTACTCACCCATGGAAACCCTGTACTCACCCATGGAAACCCTGTACTCACCCCCATGAAAACCCTGTACTCACCCCCATGGAAACCCTGTACTCACCCCCAAGGAAACCCTGTACTCACCCCCATGGAAACCCTGTACTCACCCATATGGAAACCCTGTACTCACCCATATGGAAACCCTGTACTCACCCCCATGGAAACCCTGTACTCACCCCCATGGAAACCCTGTACTCACCCCCATGGAAACCCTGTACTCACCCCCATGGAAACCCTGTACTCACCCCCATGGAAACCCTGTACTCACCCCCATGGAAACCCTGTACTCACCCCCATGGAAACCCTGTACTCACCCCCATGGAAACCCTGTACTCACCCCCATGGAAACCCTGTACTCACCGAATGCCTCAAAAAGTACAAAGCTACATTAGAATGCATTTTTATATATAGTTTGAGAGGTATGAATTTTTATGTCTGATAATATCTTGTCACTCCAATATTTAATTATATTGCAATATGGAAACTAGCATACGAGTAAACATTGTGTTGCTAGAGACAGAAGGTTTGGGTTTACATGTACTGTAAAATCTGTATTAGAAGCTGCGGCTTCTATTAAATTGGTACAATGCAATAGAGGGGATGCTGCTTCTATTAAATTGGTACAATGCAACAGAGGGGATGTGGCTTCTATTAAATTGGTACAATGCAACAGAGGGGATGCGGCTTCTATTAAAACATCTACACATTATGAGTAATGGTAAATGTTTGGTTCTCAATTGGAATGGGTGCGACGTATCATTAGAGAAGCGGCATTTAATAGAGATTTTACAGTGGTAATACAAGATACACTTACCACCGGTATAACATGAGTGACTCCATCACCGCTGTCAATGACAGTCCCTGTTAATGTACGCTCTCCAACCTGTCTGGAAGTCCATGACGCTGCCAATGCTAAAACAGCCTACAATGATCAGATAGTACAATTACATCATTTGAATAATAGACAAGTAAATTGTATGTATACAAAGTTATAAAATCTACATTTATGGGACAGAGCTCGTTGGAGCTTGTCAAGAGAAGCCTGAGAAGTGAAAACACTATTTTAATTTTGTTCTCAGATGAAAAACTGCTAATTTTTACTACATGCACATTGTACTGTCTGATGTGGGATTCAAAATCACACATCAAGCTCCCTCTTCAGATTAAAAAAACCATCTTGTTACCACTGCTGCTTGTGATGGATTCAAACCCACACATCAGACAAGGAGCTCCCTCTTCAGATTAAAAACCATCTTGTTACCACTGCTGCTTGTGGTGGCTTCAAACCGACACATCAGACAAGGAGCTCCCTCTTCAGATTAAAAACCATCTTGTTACCACTGCTGCTTGTGGTGGATTTAAACCTACACACCTGACAATGCGACCACCACCCTTGATATGATTAGTGAAACATGTATGTAACTGAGGATATATTTACCTGTACAGCAATATAAAGACCTGGAACATTGAAAGATTCAAACATTATTTCAGCAGTATATTCACGATTCTCTGGTGTGTTCAATGGAGGCTCAGTCTGAAAATAGAAAAAAAATATTGAATAAACTATAATAATACAATACAATAAAGAAAAAATTTATTTTATTTTTTTGGGAAAATCACAAAAAACAGAAAATCAAAAACATTTCCTATTTCCTTCTTTTTCTGTTTTTATTTACTTGTATGTTTAATAAACATATCTAACCCCCACATATCACTTGCCCTGCCCAGTCTGAGTAGTTGTCTGTCTGATGTGACAGCGCCCTCAGCAGGCAGAAACTATTTTCACGAAAATGTAATTGCCACAATTGTAAAAAAATGCTATTCAAACCAAAATTGCTGAAATGGATGGAGAATTTAGACATGCCAAATTTTTACCATGGAGGGATACACTTTTAATTACTGGGGTATAATTTCTTGATCTATTAATCATTAATTCAACATGGAAGAGTAATTCTATTATCCCAAAATCCTCAAGTTTTCACAAGGTTTAAATTTATTTATTCATTTATTCATCAAATCAACACGCAAAGAGTATAAAAGAAAAAGAATGTTATATGATCACAAATCATGCACTGAAAATAGGGAAAGCAGAATCAGCAGCTGTCAGGGGTGTTTAAAACATTCCAACCACTGTACCACATTATTATGCAGAGTACAACATCCCACCCCATGCATTATGCATAGTCACACATGCAACAAACAGGGATTACTATTTATGATTTGGGTACAAGCTATGAGCATTTAACCTTTTCACCACCAGACTTTCTTGCCAAAAGTTTTCTGCACTTTTTTTCCTTAAAAAAATACTAAGAAGGTATGTTCTTTAGTTCACTTAAATTTATTTAATTCTCATTATTTACAAAAATCCATGGTCGTTGCATTTACATTTTGGGTTAACTACAGATGTGAGAAATAACACGTATTCTTAGTCAGTTAACATTCACTACATAGAAGGAAGTGAACAAAGTAAAAAATTTACATTGGTGGAATTGACCATAGCTAATTTGTAGGCTCATTTGAATAAAATAGTCTATTTCTCCCGAAATATGCATAGATTACCGAAAAGAGAATTTATTTTATTCAACCCCAAGCAAATAAAACATTTTCAGCACAAATACTGAATTTGCTTTTTAGAAGTGCATTTAGAAGTGCATCTCCAACAGAAATACACATCAGCCATAAAAAAATGTATTATGCTATGATTACGCAACAGCATTCTACTCCCATTTATTAACAGAAGATTATCTCCAATACGACTGGGGCCAAAAGAAAACCGAAATCTGCCAGAGTTCAATTCAAGTTCAACAGCTAGACGAGCAAAGATGCTAGACAAGCAAAGATGCAGCAAATGGTTATTGCCCCACGCCACCGTCAAACATACAAAACATGCAAAAACATGGCCAAAAACATTAGAAAAAAAAGTTGTAAGCGGAAATTTTCCTATGGTTAACAATTGCATTATTGTACTGTCAAATACTTTATTTTAGCTTGGAATTAATTTTCACATTTTCACTGAAGGAATGATTCAGTGAAAATAAAATCAGGCGAATATACCTACATTTTACATTTAACTTGTGAAAAAATCAGTGAAAATAAATTCCATACAAAACACCCAAAACGTTTTTTTCAGTGAAAATAAATTCCAGCTAAAATAAAGTATTTTACAGTATACTGGATCATTGAAATATGACTTAGTTTGATCAAGACACTTCACATGTCATTCATGCAAGCTCAATTAAATACAGTATGGTAAAAGAATGAATGGTTAGCCAGCATACCATATACAGGTATCTGTGCTATACAGTGGATATTTATTACTTACCAATAGAAAGTAATGATCTTCTGGTTCCGCTCTCAAATATTTAAAAATCGCTTGTTCATAGAACCTTTCCATCAAGTCCCAATCTTCCACAATACCGTGCCGAATTGGGTACTGTTAATAAACAAATACTTTTTGATTTAGTGCATTACATGATGTACAGAAATAATGTTGATACCATATTTGCAGCCTTGTTACTAATAACATCATAACAGGCATTGTGTATCATTTATTATTGGCGATCCGCTCCGCTAGGATTGCCCTTATAATCACTTTTGTCGT